TAGGCGAGCGACTGGTGTGTTGCTCGAGCGATAGGTCAGCAACATGCTGGCGACCAGGTTACTGTTTTTCTACTTGAGCATCGTATGGGTGATAGGCTAGCGTAAATTCGACGGCTCTTTCCTTCTTGTTCTGAACTCGAATCCTAAGATACCTATTTTATCTGTAAAATATTTCAACTGATTTCTTGACTTTTACAACTTTTCATTTTAGTTTTTTTATCTAAAGAATTGCCAATACAATATGAATCCTAACAAAAGGTAATTAGCTAAAATCAAAAAATCGAGTCTAACATTCTAAATGAGTAGCTTGTTAATTTCCTTGTGAATAAATTAATTAGACGACGATTGAACAAAATCATGAATTCCAACTGCTTCAACCTCTCAATTTTTCCTAATTTTATGCTTTGTTATTTTTGTAAAATTTTTAGTACGTTTGTTATTTCAAAATTCCAAAAATTGTACGTTTCTTCATTAGAATTAAATTGAGTAACGTAATATAATTAAAAGCAAAGCATTCCTCAAGGGATTGACTCGAATTCATAATTCACTTTATTATTTGAACGCAACTTGTATACTTGTGGCACATAATTCTAGCAAACAAAATCAATGAATTGTTTTGGGGCTTTGTAAGATTCGAGTGGAACCCTAGCCGATAAAGCCACGTTTAATGCAATTTTTTCAAGTTTAGTTATGTCATTAGGATATTTAGCTCAATGGTCGATACTTATGGTACAGAAGATAAAGTAAACCATTTTTCTTGTGTGTATTGACCTGTTATGTCGAGCTGGATTTCTTGATATGTTAGAGAGACTAATTATCATTAAGGATATTTACATTCATCCCAATGTGTGATGGACATTATTCAGTCCATATGTAGCTCATGGTAATCTAGGAATTGGGAAGTATTGCTGAGAGTGTAATTTTAAAAATTGAACAAAATGACCCAACAATTTTGTGACTCTAGCACTAGCACTAAGGGAAATTATTAGGATGTCGGGTAATTAGCACAAAATGTCCTTAATTTTCAATGTTATTGTGCAGAACGTCTTTACCTTTCATTTTTTGACATTTTTATCCTTACCTTCACATTTTATTGAGGAAATCATTTTTTAATCAAATTTCTCGTGTAAAATAACAAATATATCCCCTATTTAAATAAAACAATAGAAAAGAAAAGAAAAGTTAAAGAATAAATTGTAATCACGCTCCCGAACTTTTTATAAAAAGTGCAAATGAGTCTAAATAAATTATTAAAAGGGTGATTAGCACAAAACGTCCCTACCTTTCATCATTATTGTGCAAAACATCCATACTTTTCATTTTTTTTTATATTTTCACCCTTATTTTTATATTTCATGGAAAAAATCATTATTTTTATCAATTTTCTCAATTAAAAGCTATAAAATGACACATATACACTCCTCTTTAAATAAAAAAAAAATAAATAAATAAATAAAGAACAAATTGTAACTATGCTCCTAAATTTTTCAAAAAAAATAAAAATAAATTTTAAATAAATAATTAAAAAAAAAAATTACTTTATGTTTTAATAATTTATGTGAAATTTATTTGTATTTTTTTTGAAAATTTTGAAAATATAGTTGCAGTTTGTTCTTTGTTTTCTTTATTTTTGTGTTTGTTTATTTAAAAACGAGTGTATATTTGTCATTTTACAATTTTTAATTGAGAAAATTGATAAAAATAACGATTTTCTAATGAAATATGAAATAATGGTGAAAATGTCAAAAAATGAAAGATATGAATGTTTTGCCCAATAATAATGAAAGATATGGACATTTTGTGCTAATTACCCTTTTAATAATTTATTTGAATTCAGTTGCACTTTTTAAAAAAGTTTGGGAGTATGATTGCAATTTATTCTTTAACTTTGCTTTTGTTTTTTTATTGTTTTATTTAAATAGGGGATATATTTATCATTTTATCTGAAAATTTTGAAGAAGATGATTATTTTAGCAATAAAATGTGGAGGTAATGGTAAAAATGTCAAAAAATGAAGGATATGGACGTTTTGCACAATAACATTGAAAGATAAAAACGTTTTGTACTAATTCTAGGGACATCCACCGATGCAAATGGTCCTAAATCTTCTCATTTTTGGTGCAAATTGTCCTTTCAAAAGGATTTCATCCAAAAGGACTATTAGATTGAAGTGTTGGCCATACTTTATTTTAAGGAAGAATTGCATATATAGTCTCAACTCTAATGAAATCGATAATTATGATCCTAACCAATATTGTCTTATTTTTTGTGGAAAATTGGTGCAAATGGTCGCAAACCTTAGCACTTATTGTGTAATTGGTCCAAACATTTCAAAAGTAGTGCAATGGTCCTCAAACCTTTTCTTTTTGGTGCAAATGGTCCTTTAAGATGGATTTAATCCAATAGGATGCAGAATACATTTTCTTCTAAGGAAATATTGCATATATAGTCTCAATTTTGATGAAAATAACAATCATCTCCCTAATAAATATTGTCTTCTTTTTGTCTCCAACCTTTAAGAGATTAAAATTAAGTCTTTTTTATTAATATAAGTTTTTAAAAATGAACATTTGTCCTTATCATTAAATAAAAAGATCACAAAATAAAAACAAAATTCGTCTCTTTCTTCAACCAACCCATCGAAAACTACCACCACCCAATTGCTGTCGCCATTGCCACGACATTATGATGTGAATAATAGATTTGGGTGGTTTAAAAAGCTTGTTGTGTTGAAAGATTCGACAATTCATTACATTAATGAGAGGTATCATCTTGGGCACGAGCTTGGAAGATGTGCATGTGGGATCACCACTATAGCGATGATTGGGTGGTGGTAGTCTTTGGTGGATTGGTTGAAGAAGGAAATGCATTATATTTTTCAATTTTTAATGTTTTTAATTTTTTATTTAAAGACAAGTATAAATTTGTCTTTTTTAATTAAATAAAAAAGAAGGACTTACTTTTAATTTTTAATGGTTTGGGACAAAAATTACTTAGGAACATAATTACTATTTTAGTCAAAGCTGGGACTATATAAGCAATTTTTTTTCTTAAATGAAAGTTTAGTTCATACGCCAAACTAGTAATCTTTTCTGACCGAATGCATCTAAAAGGACCATTTGCACCAAAAAAATGAAAAAAGTTTCAGACCATTTGCACCACCTTTGAAAGATATTGATCCTTATTATGCAATACGTGAAAAGGTTTGTGACCATTTGCACCAATTTCCCTAATTTTAGACTTTAGCCTCTATTTGTTTCTCATCAATGTAAGAATGAGAATAAAAAATATAGTTTTTGTGGACTCCACATAAGATATAAAAATTCAAATATGGTGATTTAATGTGATAGATAACAGTCATAGTTTTTATTTTAATGGTCAAATAATGGGAAACAAATAGGGGCTCAACGGTGATAATATTTTTTTTGGAAAAATTGCAACAGAGGCCTCAAACTTTTAAAATATTTGTAGACTTTTCTCAAACCTTTAATTTGTTGCAACCGTTATCCCAAACCTTTTGAAACGTTGCAACGGAGACCCTTTTTGACGA